TTCACCTTGAATAATCTATCAGTTCCTTTTCGTGGTACATATTCAACATAGAAAATATTCGTTATATGTACGTTCACTTTGAACTGGCAGATTTAGTAATATATCAGTTACTTTTCGTGGTAATATATTATATTAGATGATATCATTTAAAGTATTAAAGGTTTAAATTATTAGGTTACATTATTAGATAATCATTTTAATTTAGAATGGTACAAATTTTTGGGGTCAAGTTTCAAAGGATGATATTCATTGGGTTTTTATTTTGTGATTAGGTAATCGTTTTAATTTTGATAGTTTCAATTTTTGTAGTTTTCATTTACTTTTCGTGGTACATAACATAGAAAATAACATAATGTATGTTCACTTTGAACTGGCACGTTTAGTAATATATCAGTTACTTTTCGTGGTCATATATTATGTTAGATAATATCATTTAAATTATTAAAGTTTAAATTATTACGTTACATTATTAGATAATCATTTTAATTTAGAAAAGTTCAAATTTTTGGGGACAATTTTCAAAGGTTGAAATTTATTGGGTTTTCTATTTTGTGGTTAGGTAATCGTTTTAATTTAGGAAGGATCAAATTTTTGCGGTTTCAGATAATATTTGTCAAACGTTGGTTTTTGACAAGTGCTGTTATACTTCCAACCGTCATTGGAAGGATTAACTATGAAGGATGCCGTTTGATCGGAATGATGGAGTCATTTAATCTGACGTGTGTGTATCGTGGACTGCGTGGATTTGCGTTGGCTTGACTCGCTTTTTTGCGTATTAACATGGAGTTGGTTTGGGATATGTATATATTTTTTGTAATTTAATTTCACTGAAGATGACTGGAATTCAGTCGAAACGTATGAATTTTGTAATTTTGTATTCTTTTGAAAGAGATTTTTAATATATTTATTTTTCAACGCATTGACAACCGCGTAGATTTTAAATTTACTCTCACTTGCCTGTTTTGTAATATATTTGATTTATTGTGAAGAAAGTTGTGGCCACTGGTGAACATATCGCGTCACTAAAAATCTGCAAACTCCAATTTACAATTGGTGTGTTGTAAACTATCTTCTCTGTTTCTTATTCATATTTTCATGCTGATTTAGTGCCTTTTCAATGTTATCATCCACCATACTTGATCCACCAGTTGATTTCAAAATTTCAAAATTTGATCATCAGATTTGCAATTCACGACCCCGAAAACTATTACATACACACTTTCATGCAAATTGACTAATTTTCAATTATTATCATCCGCTATTTTGGGTCCGCCTCTTTGAATTTTTAAATTTTATTATCAGATTCGTAATCAATAATCACGAAAACTATTGTATTCGCACTTTCATGCAAAGACTGAGTTTTCAATGTTAACAGCCGCCTTTCTTTGTCCGGCATTTTGAATTTTTAAATTTGATCATCGGATTCGTGATCAGCGACCCCCAAAACCCCTAAATAAAAATATTTAGTTATGTCCGTTGACATGAAACTCGACAAATTAATATTTCGTTTGCACGCCCAGGAATTCGGACGTTCTGAATCACTGTGCGCCGTCAATCAGCGAGTGACCGAAAAACTCGCGACGTCAGCGGGACCGCCTTGCCGTACGCCAGAACCGCCGAATTCGCACGTCCCGGTACCTGCTGACACCTCGCGACCGCTTGTAA